GTATAAAGAGTATAAAAGTGTGATGTGAAGCAGAAGAAACAGCAGAATAACGTCTTGCAGGCATCACAAAGCTGCACCGTCAGTATCTGGACATGTAAAGGAATACGTCTATCATCTCTGTACAGCATCAGTCTAAATGTTTGGTATATGTGGAATATTTTCATTGTTAAAAAATCAAGAAACTAAAGCAGTGTTATTAACAAAAACTGTCATTTTCCCTCACAGGACATCAGAGTCACTAGTTTTCCTCACTGTGGGCTCATTGTTCACTGCAATATAAAGTTCTGAACCTTTATGAGAACAGAACCAGGACTAGAAGGAGAGAGAGCTCAGAAATGTAGTTTGGCAGTATTACACATAAATCAGACAAAAAATAAAAATGAAAGTCAAATTTCTCTGCTTATTCATTTTACAAAAATTAAATAAGAAAAAAAGCACCAGATTGTTCCAGGTTTTATCAGTACTGTAAATAAAACATAAAAGTGGCTTCACATGCTTTAGATATTTTACATTTCTAATCACTTCCAGACTCGTCTCCTCTCTGCTTTGTGGAAACACTTCCTGCAGTTCATCCTTAAACTCACAGAATGGAATTTCTGACTGTTGATTGTAGTTGAGTCACTAAATCTTTTGTTTTTTTACCGACTCAGGTGCAAACAGTCTTTTTTTTTTTAAAGATGACTGCATGAATGAAACATGCAGAATAACACAATTATGAAGAAATATCCTGATTTTAGGCTCAGATTTCCAAACAAACATCATAGATGAGTAACTTAAGGACTGTTGAAAGATCATCATGTGATAACTCTCCATCTTTTTAAAAAATTATTATTATTTTAAGTTTCTGGATCTGTTGAAAGATGTAATTTTGCAAATTTTTAAAAGAAACAACAACATCGCTTACAAACGGGCTGCAAGGTGGTTAGCACCGATGCAACAAGGTCGCCGGTTCATCCCGGTGAGGACACCCAGGATCTTTCTGCATGGAGTCTCCATGTTCTCCCCGTGCAGTGTGGGTTCTCTCCGGGTTGTTGAGGTTAATTGGTGATTCTAAATTGTCCGTAGGTGTGAATGTGAGTGTGCTTGGTTGTCTGTCTCTAAGTGTAGCCCTGTGATAGACTGGTGACCTGTCCAGGGTGTCTCCTGCCTTCACCCTAAGTCAGCTGGAATAGACTCCAGCCCCCCATGACCCTAGTGAGGATGAAGCTGTGTATAGATAATGGATGAATGGATGGATGGATGGATGACAAACTGGCCGTTGGGTTTTTGGATCCAGATGGTTAAACACCATATTCACACACCAACACAAACAAACTGCTACAATACCAAACTAATTGTGATTCAGATGCTTCGAAATGAACCTTTTGACAACAGCTTGAATGACAACAAAGGGAATCTTAACTCTTGACTGGTCGACTTGAAAATACTGTTTTCTCCTAAAATTTGCATTTTTGTCAATGGAGTCTGGTGCCTCTGAGACAGCAATACAAATGCTTCACAGCCAGGTGACAGCAAGGTAAAGTGATGAAAACTATCTAAATGTAGTTTTATTTCAGCAGCAGCTCATTGCTGCAAGTTCCTCCTGTCTGACCTTTCAAAATAAGGGCATGCTGACTGTTATTTACTGTAATAATACACCAAATGTGGATAATTACTTAATAAAACCGTGTTTTAAAGGAACTAAAATATTCCTTTAAATCCCTCTGAGAAACTCCATCGTGTTTAACTTCAAACTAAGATTTCACCTTGATGCAAAACAAGTTGGCCTCTTCATGCTTCTCATGTGTCTCTTTTAAAAGTTTCCTGTGATCAACACCGCACCAAGAACGCACTTTACGGGAGGCGAGAACAAATGAATTAGACATTAATAAGACGCCAGCATGAAGAAACTGTAAACGGGCTCAGCTAAGCAACAGCAGCCGGCAACAAACACACACAGAAGTCCACGTGATCACTTCCACCAGTTTGTTTTTAGCAGCTCCAAACACAAGCTGCTGCTGGTGAAGCAACCTCCTGACAGGTGATTTCATGATCGACACGCTTCACAAACAAGCTGGAAAATCCACACTGGAGCAGCTCCAGCAAGAAATATGTCACATTTTCTGAGTAAATGTGGTCCAACTCCACCAAAAACTGATTTGAGACTTCCTCGGACGCTGGTGCAGTTTCTCAACCACGTTGGCTTAGTAAACACTTTGAATGAGGATGAAGCAAGCGGTGGTGTTGCTGCAGAGCGACGTGACAGCCGAGGTGTGGTCAGATAACAGCTTCTTCACATTCCTTCATCACAACACGAGGAAACTCCACTGACAAAGAGAAGTTAGATGAGTGTTTTCTGATCATAAAAGGAGGTGCAGGTGTTTATCAGAGGCTCCATTAGCAGCAGTGAGCAGCAGCGTTAGCTCCAACTAACGCATTTTACAACATGAAAACAACTCATCTGAAGCCAGCATGTGATTTTTTTTTAACATTTAATCAGTTGTTTGGTCTGAAAATGAAAATGATTAAATGAAGCTAAAGAAAGAAATGTTTAAAATTAATCTGTAACTACATATTACGATCATTTAAAAAATAACAATTAAAACAACGGACCTGATTATTAGTCGTGAATACAGTTTTGTTTATAAAATGTCAAAAAAAAAGCCAAAAAAAACCCTGAAATATCATAACTTTAAACTCAGACTTACATCAAATCTGACAGTACTCTCTGTTCTAACAGGTTCTGGTTCCTATAAACGGTAGAATTTTAGTCACATAAGACTGAAAAAAGCATCAAATGGTCTCTGGTTCTTGTGTTTTCTGTTGATGGACTCATCAGATTCACTGGTTCCACTCACATAAACATTAATATTTACTGGTCTTCTCACTTATCTGACAGTCAACTGAGCACTTTTGGGGAAACTGGTCAGAAAAACAAACTTTTTTCACTTTTGTGAACAGCCAGTGAGCTGCAGCCTGCATGGACTACCTTCATAAGGGTCTCAGGAGGAAGCTCTTCTTCATTTATTTAGCTCTTATTTATCAGATCTTTTCAGATTCAGAACATGTGAGCTGTTTCCTGTGTGAGGAGAGTTAATGAGCTGAAGGTGGGAAGCTGCTCAGGAGCTCCTCCAACCTCTGAAACCGTCCCGCTGAGGGAAAACAAACAGCACGGCTTCATTTATATCCACTTTATCTCATAGTGTCGGCTGTCAGCAGACTTCTTGTGGCAGCAGCTGAAGCTCAGGTGGTTTAATAATTCCATTTAGTTTAGTTCTACTGAGGACTTGCATCCCTTAAATCAAATCATACTTTGTGTAAACACGCATTTTTAGCCCCTTAAGTCGTGAAAAACGCTTCGTATTATTTCCACAGATCGTCTCAAATGTCTCGTTTTGTCAAAAATTCACCAAAAAAGTAAATTTGCGTCTATTTCTGCTTTTGTTTCTGCTCTGTTTTGTGTGTCGTGAAAGTCATTCTACGTCTATTTGTAGAATTTTTGCATTTTTGTCATTGATTTGCAGATTTCTGGTTTGTTTTTCTGAGTCTGTTTTATTCACTCAGAGTTTTTTTTTCACGACTTTGCATCTCTCTGCTCCTGTTGTGTGTTTTAAATCAGTTCATGGCAGATTTTCGATGTATTCGTGCTCATTTAGCATCTTTTTCTGGTCCTCTTGTGTCTCTATTTTACTCACTCAGGATATTTTTCATTGGTTTGCATTTTTTCTTCCTTAGGATCTTATAATTGTGTGTTTTTTCGGTCATTTTTTTTGTCTATTTCTGTTTATTTTGCTTTTTCAAATTGATTTGCATCTTTTCCTGCTCCTTTAAGTATGTTTTCATTTGGTTGTAAGCAGATTTCTCACAGGTTTCATCTCCTTCAGGTCTGGTTGTGTTTTGTAAATCACTTTTTATTGGTGTTAATGTTTTATACACATATATTTGTGTTTATTTTGCTTTTTTCCATTGATTTGCATCTTTTTTATGTGTGTTTTAATTCAATTTTTACTCAGATTTTCCAAACCTATTTGTATTTATTTTGCATCTTTTCATTGGTTTCATCTCCTTCAGGTCTTTTGTGTGCTTCTCCAGTTGTTTTTACATCTGTCTGTGTTAGTTTGGCATCTTTTTCATTGGTTTGCATCATGTTCTCGTCCTCTCATGTGTCTTTATTGCTCACATGGGATCTTTTTCATTGGTTTGCATCTTTTTCTGGGTTTCTTATGTGTTTTAGCAGAAGTTTTATGTCTCGTTTATGTTAACGTTGCTTCTTTTTTTATTGATTTGCATCTCTTTCTGGCCCTTTCGCATGTTTAAATCAGTTTTAAGCAGATTTCCCTCATTTATTTGTATTAATTTTACATCTTTGTCATTGGCGAGCATCTCTTTCTGATCTCTCTCTGGACTTACCTGATCTATCTGTAATAATTTTGCATCTCTTTCACTGGTGTCCATCTGTTTTGGTCTCTCTGTGTTGTTGTTGTTGTTGTTGTTTGTGCATCACCATATTTGGTGTTCAGGTATTTCTCAGGTGCTTTTGCAGTCCTTATAGAACTATTTGTATTCATTTCACCCTTTTCTATTCGTTTGCAGCCCTCTATAGCCGTTTATTAAGTTTTCAATCAGATATAAGCAGATTTAGGTTCCTGATTCTCCCTCTGTTGTCTTTAAACCTCTAACTTGATGTTTTTAGCTGTGATTAAATGATCTGAGCTAACTTTAGCAGCCGGATCCTGAGCTCACAGCAGCTGAATCTGGGATTTCCGGCCGTGAGGAGGACGTGAACCTCTCACCGACGACGAGCCTCCTGATGCGGCCGCTTTCCGTGACGGCGCTGCGGTCTGCGGGATTAACGGAGCACCGGCGGCTAACGAGCGAGCTAACGTAGCTGCCCGGCTAACTGACAGCTAGCTGCCCGGCTAGCTGCCCGGCCAGCTAACCGGACCGACGACAACCCGTCCGACGGGTTCCGGGGCGAGGTCTGCCGCCGGGAGCCGCGTCTCCTCCCAGGTGCGCCTTACCTTGTCGCTGATGTTGTCGGTGCTGTCCGGGTCTCCGCCGCCGCCGCCTCGCTTCCTCAGCTCCGTCATGCTGCGCTCGTTCCGCCGCCGGGACGTTAAGCCGACTCCGGTGGAGGGAGGAAGGATGGAGGGCTGGAAAATCCTGCTGAGGGGGCTGTCGGGTAAAGTCCTGGAGCTTTAGCCCGGCGTGGGCATCCGAGCTCGGTCCGTGAGAGAAGGTCAGCCTCCGTGAAAGTCAGCCGGTGCTGCTCCGCGGCTCCGCAGACGGTAACGACTCCGCTGCGTGTGTTTGTTTATGACCGCAGTCCCGCTGCTGCTGCTGTCAAGCTGCAGGAAGTCACCACCAACCACGTCCGGCGGGGGTCTTTCAAAATAAAGCCTCTGTGTGCCACAAAAACAATTGAAGAATTCTTTTGCAAAAACAGAGAACCTCATTTTTGTAGATTTTCATAAAACTTTGTTGTTGTTGTTTGCTTGAGATAATATCAAACTGAAGTTGAGTGGATCTGACTCAGTAGAAATGACATGACAAACAGAGATAACTCAAGTTTGATATTTTCTCAGCTAGACGATGGAAAAGTTGGTTTTCTGAAGGTTTGTAAAGATGATGGAGTTATCTGGTTTTGCAAATGAACTCTTCAGTTAGACAAAAATGAGTAGCACAAAAAGACCAGAACACACAAAAAAAAGGTTTTAAAGTCCAACATGTGCTTTTAAAGTGTAACGTTTCTAAAATCAGCGTTTTGCTCAATTTGCGTTGTTTTCAATCTATTTAAAGTCACAGTCTCTCTCTTTTTTTTTTCTAAATCTGCCCCAAAACCTCATCAGGTCTTTTCTTTCATCTCTTTCTGGTCTGTCAGTGTGTTTTTTATCGTTGTTTGTCACTTTCATTGCTTCATGTCTGCTTCTGTTCTCTTTGTTTTCCTATTTGTGCTCATTTTGCACCTTTTTGTTGTTTTTTGCAGATGGTTTACATCTTGTGTTCATTAAACAGGTCTTTCTGCTGCTCTGTGTATTTTTTCCATCTTTTTATTGCTCTGCATCTTTTTCCTGGTCCCTTTGTGTGTCTGTTTGTGTTCATTTTGCATCTTCTTAGTTGTTTGTAACACATTCTGTTCAATTAGTGTGTTTTAAAGATATTTTTACATCCATTTTGTTCACTTGGGATCCTTTTCAATAGTTTGCTCTGCTAACTTCGTTGTCTTTCTGGTCTGTTGTGTGCCTATTTGTGTTCATTTTGCATCTTTTTGCATCTCATTTTGTTGGTTTCGTGTGTCTTTGCAGATGCTTTACGTCTACTCGTTGTCCTTTCACATGTCTTTCTGGCCTTTTGCTTTTCCATACACACTTTTTAATGCAGCATTAAAATATTCAAACAGAGAGCAAGTGGTGCAGGTGAACAGACGGTTCGCTTTGCAAGACGAACAGGAAGAAACTCAAAGAAACAGCAACAAATACAAAGAATTTAAAGAAGAATAAAGCAACAGAAATATGCACAGTGTGCAGGAATGTGCAGTTTATGGTGTAAACAACTGGAGACGTGCAAAAGGATCTTAAAACTCGTATTTAAAAAGCTGTTTGGAAAGTTAACACTGGAATCTGATATTAAACTACAAATAATGTGACTGTGTTAAAAATGACGAAGCCGCTTCAACAGAACGGATCAAAGCTGAAACGACGTTATTCATCACATGGAAACACTCTCCATGATTTAATCAGATGTATTTAAAGAGTTGTTTATTTAAGTATGTAAACAGTAAAAGCAAGTTAAATCATGGAGAGCATCACCATGTAAATCATCCTGTTGGTTTAATTAACGTGGTGATTGATCAGGGTTAAATACATTTTTCCTGTTACATTCACAGCTTGTATATAAACTAGATGATCTCATTTTATCTCAACATCACTGAAGTTCTTAAACATGCTGTAAATGTTTTAGATAATTTAATTAAGTTCATTCATATTGTTGTTGTTTTTTTGTTTGTTTTTGTTGCAACTAAATATGTTTACAGTCAGAAGTTATCATTTGGATTCAGTGAGCTCAGAGGACTTCCGTGTTATTAAATGTAATGTTTCACTTCCTGAACTGCACGAGACAAACAAAAACTCTCAAATCTTGAAATAGTCTGAAAAATACACAGTAAAGCTGACAAATTAGTTTTGAAGTGAGGGAAACTATTTTATGTCATTAACATCATTATTTGCATGTAAAATCCTGATGTGTATTCTTTTAGTAATTAGATGCAAACATTTCCAATGAAACGTTGTGAAGTCATCAGGATTTAGTTGAAAGGCGGGTTTATTTTGAAGTACAAGCTTGTGAACTTCCGCTGCCAGTCCGTGTTTCTTGATGTAACTTCACAGCTGTCTCTGCGGTGAGACTCTCTCTCTCTCCGCCTCCAGTCGGTCCGCACTGGGCTGACCGGTTCTGCTTGCTGCAGTGGGACCAGCGGAACCAGAACTTGGTCTCAGCCATGTTCTGGTTCTGTCGGAGACTCATCAGCCTCCGTCACTAACCTGAACCTCCATCACCTCCAACCCAAAACTGAACCTGAATCCGGGTGCGGACCCAAAACCAGACTGTTGTGGGTTTGTTCCTCTGAAGCAACAAACCAAAGAGTCCAGATTTCCAGAACCATCTTCACCGTCAAACTCAAATCTGTCCTCAGAAACAAACTCACACCAGAAGATCCATCAGGACTCCTGGATGGATGAGAGACAAAAGTCCCCAAAGTAGTTTTTACTGCTGTCTGTGTGCTGCTTTCATTGGTTTGCATCTTTTTCTGGTCTTTTTGTGTGTTTATTTTGCATCTTTTTGATCAGTTTGCATCTTTTCCTGGAGCTGCATTGTGTTTTTGCAGCCATGTCTCAGGTCGACTTGTGTTCATTTTGCACCTTTTTCACAATTTGCATCCTTTTCTGCTCATTTTTTGGACGCCATTTTATTTGGTTTGCATCTTTTTCTGGTCTTTCAGTGTGTTCTAGTTGTTTGTGCGTCACTTTCTTTGGTCCTTCTTTGGTTCTGTTCTTTTTGTGTGTAGTTGTGTTCATTTTTGCATCGTTTCCATAAGTTTGCATGTCTTTCTGGTCCCTTTGTGCGCCTATTTGTGTTCCTTTTCCCTCTCTTTGTTGGTTTTGTGTGTGTCTGCAGATGCTTTACATCCACTTGTTGTCATTTAACATGTCTGTCTGGCCTTTTTGTGTATTTTTACAGTCGTGTGTACATCTTTTTATGGGTCTGCATCTTTT